ACCGCGCAGCGCGGCGGAAAAATGGCCACGGACCATGTGTGGGGTGGAAAAATGGCCACGGACCACGTGCCAGGGCGGAAAAATGACCGTAACCCGAGGCGGAGTTCGCACATCGAGGTAAATTTTTGCAGCCGGAGCTGGTCATAACCCGAAAAGTTCGTTAGTAGAGGCGTTCGTATCCCGAGGTACCACTGTAGTAGTAAACTCAGGCTCAAAAGTCTTTGGGGCCGGGAGCAGGGAAGGAAGGGATGTGGAAAAAAAAATTAATTCCCAAACCACTAAGACATAGCAACCTCTGAGCCAGATGCTAGTGGGGGAGAGAAGATATTGAATCTGCACTGGTTTTAGACAGAATAAAATGCTGAAATTGAGCACAGGAACTGAAAAGGGGGTGATAGCAAGAAATCCCTCCCAACCAAAACAATGGCTGCAGAAATGTTTTCTTTATATTAAAATAATGTCAGTGACATTATGCATTTCAAAGGAAAAGTATTTTTTTCTTTGGTAGAGAATACGAGGCCTGAAAAAACAGTGACTGGAAATAAGACAGCTTTGAAGCTTTAAAATCAGCTCGTAGATGTAAAAAGGTGTCTGAAAGGCTCCAAGAGTGATTTTTTTCGAGTCCAACTACTAGGCTGTCATGAAGTGGCAAAGCATCATATCTGAAAATACGGAATTTCTCCATCACCCTTGTAGCAGCAGTCAAGGCATTCTAGAAAGTTCTGATAGTCTAACTTGAATGTTTTAAGGTGTAAAGATGTTTAAGGCCTTACATATGACTGAGTCCCTTACTTTCCATATCACACATGAATGTGTGAAGATTCATTAAAAAAATTAATATACAGAACAGTCAAGGTATATTTGACACTAATTTTCAGATAAGCTAAGGCTTACAGATAATTCAGCAGCCCTGAGGGGATTAGAGATTCCCCCTCCCTGAATTTGAACCCTATGACCGAGCACTTTAGCAAACACTGCTATGTAGGCAATACTGTGGAGTCCTTGGGGTTCTCTGAGCTTGGTTGTTTTCCTGCAAACGTTTCATTACCCAGCTAGGTAACATCTTCAGTGCTCTGAAGTGCACTGAAGATGTTACCTAGCCGGGTAATGAAACGTTTGCAAGAAAACAACCAAGCTCAGAGAACCCCAAGGACTCCAAAGTTCAACCCTCAGCTACACATATTTGCTTCTATTGGTAGGCAGTACATAATGAATAATGTGTCATTTCTGCCCAAGGGAGAAGTTTTCCAGAACAATCCAATGTGTTTTACTTTTAAATAAATCCTGTGGTGTCTAAAAGGATTGTTCTATAGATTACACAAGGAATCTCAGATCTCTGAAGACGCTAAATAGAATTCTGCTGGGAGACTAATCCTAGTGAACCTCTGGACACCTCAGTCTGCATGGTAGATAGAGGCATATTCTCATTTTCTTGTATTGAAGAAGGAGACTGACAATTCAGGAACAGGATCTTCACTTCTTTTTTGAAGTTCTTATTTAGAAAGCCATATATAATTGGGTTTACGCAGGCAGATGCCATGGCTACAAGATGACACAATGAGAAGATTAAATCATGGAGGCAATGGGGAATTATTTTGTAGTTCCAGTCATCAATGCTGTTGAAAACATGGAGTGGCAACCAGCAAACTGCAAAGGCAACAACCATAGAGGACAGCAGGATATTTATCTGCTTCAGCTTCATTGTCCGACCACCATACCTTGGCTTCTCAAATATGCCTTCTCTCTTCTGGAGATATAAATATATGCGCAGATAACAAACCCCGATAATGAGAAGAGGAATGCAGTACTGTAGCAAAAGCAAAAGTGTAGCATAGGTAAGCCTATACTCTTCTGAAGGCCATGAATACATACAAATAGCTTTGCTTGCATAAGGATCCACGATATAGAACTGTTCAAACAATACATGGCTTAAGGTTGAGTTTGTCAAGAAAGGCAGAGACAAGAGACTGGCAAACATCCAAATAACTGCAATGCCCAGATAGGCTTGGGAGAGGGTGGGTCTCCAACGAGTTGGATTTATAATGAGCTGGTGCCTTTCCACAGCAATTAGCACTAGGGACAGGACAGATACCGTCATAGAACCACATTGGATGAATGAGGTCATTCTGCACATGGCTTCACCAAAGAGCCAGTAGTTCAGCAGGACAGTGACAATGGTGAAAGGCAGGCAGAAAATGCACATGATCAAATCTGAAGCAACCAGATTAGTAATAAATATATTTGTGACAATAGTTTTCTCTTTATGTTTCACGAGGACACAAATAAAATATACATTTCCTAGAACACCTACCAGAGTCTCCAGACCATATGAAGTGACTAAAAATATAGTAATATTTGTTGTATTCCTACAGAGTACAATGCTGTGATAGGGAAAACTCCAGTTTCCTTGAAGTGGAGGTACTGTATCAAAAGCGATGGTCCTATTCATTCTGAATCCAAAGTGATGTTGTTGGGCAGTAGGTTAGGCACTGCTTGAGATCTTACTGTAAACACTCAGGATCATCTGTAAAGGAGAGCAACAGTTTAATTTCTCACAAATGCAAACTTAACACTTTGGGGAAGCAGATGCCAAGCTCAGACTAGAAGACAAATGACATTTCTCTGAATACTTGAAATATTATTGTTTTAACTGAGGGAGGATGCTTTACTGAGTTCTGATGAAAACCACTCCACATATTTTTTCTTGCTGTTTGGAGGAGGATGATAGAGCGTAGCAATTGTAGAACATAGATATAACTAACCCTAACCCTAACCTCCTGCCAGCTTCCCCATTGACTTTGCTTGTCTGAAGCCGGCAGTGAAGGTCACAAATGGCAATCACGTGACCATGGGGACGCTGCAACGGCTGCAACTACAAAGCCCTGTTGTGAGTCCCCTCATTCAGCTCCGTCGTAACTTCAAACAGCCGCTGAATGAGTGATCTGTTCTGTTCTATTCTTATGTTTATAATGAATATTTCTAAAAAAAAAATGCTTTTGCAATATGAGTCACCTTGGAAACAGAATGGTGTGAAAGATTTTTAACAAATTGATTAACTATCTAAACAATATATATTCAAAGAGATATTTGCAGATTACTAATGAGAAGAGAGCAAGTTTGGTCTAGTGGTTAAAGGCATCAGGCTAGAAACAAAGAGACCATGAGTGGTCCTTCACTCAGAGACTATGGCCAGTCCTTCTCTCTCAGCCCTAGAAGGTGGCGGCAAAGACAAACTGCTTCTGAAATCTTCCCCAAAAAACTGCAGGGACATGTCCAGGCAGTCACCAGGAGTCAACATTGACCTGAAGGCACAAAACAAACAAACAATAAAAACAAACAAAAATGAGAAGGATATGCCAGTTCTGCTGGTAATCTGACTTGATGGATGTGAAAACCAAACTAAGTGGTTTGCTACATGACACTTTCTGGGCATCAGCATAAGACCAGTTTACAGGTGTCCTGCTCATGCCTGAGTTTGGGTTCTTAAAAGTAGTGTTATGCAGTAGTAATATGGAACTGGACATGTCTTTCACTTTCATAGTATAATACCAATATATTTCTCTATCATTCTGAATTCCATTTTTTTTTTTTTTGTGGCAAGGTGTTTACAAATTGAGGATTATGTACTAACTTCTTAGTAATGTGTAATTTTAGTACAAGAAGATATTGATCTTCCTGTATGATGTGAGAAATTTGTCTTATTTCCATTCTTCCTTCTCTATAAATCTGTATCTATCAGATATGAACCATTTGCCTCTACTTATGCTTTCCCTATACATCTGCAAACAGACCCATCTAGGAGGAGCAAAGATTTCCAAAGGGCCACATTCCTAGCTTGGCTAAATCCCACTGGAAGCTCTTATCTTCCAATAAAATTACTCTACAGATAAACTGACCATCCAGGAATGTTTCACAGCCATAAAAAGGAACATTCCAGTGGCAAATTCTAATCAACTCTACTTGTTAATGAGCTAAGCTGAGCTTACATCTGAGTAAACACATACTGTACTATAGAATGGTGCATGCACACATATGCATGAAATTTGATGGTGTAAATGTTGCTGGATCCCACAAGGAGGTCCTTAAACCCTCCACCCACAATTCTCCTGCATTCTCCTTACAACCCCTGGGAAGAGCTGACTCATAATGCTGCTGCCAACTATCTTACTCCAAAGAAATCCCTATCTGTCTGGTTTACTTGTGATGAGGCAAGTGGTGATAAGTGCTAAAGGCTGATCCCCAGGGCATCTCTAGAGAGGATAAAAAATGGTGGGTGTGACAAAATGATTGAACCTCCACTCCGTTAAAAGATACACTGCATGTGTGCCAGATGTAACAAGGGGCAAGGATTGGTGAGACTTGACTTGGTGGCACTGCATGTGAGAAAGATCTCAAAGTACTAATGGACCAACAGGCTGTGTGGACCACAACAGCAAGCAGTGTGATGCAGCAACTAAAAATGTCAGTGTATCAGGTGACACTAATTAAAAAATGCATCCAGAGCACAGGATTAATAACTCCATTGATCTCTGTATGGATTATGCTACACTTGAAATACTGTGTCCAAATCAGGGTGTTGCTCTTTAAAGGAGACACGGAGAAGCTGCTTTCCTCTGGAACTGCTTCAGAGGAAAGCTTGTAGGGTGATAGGGGTCTGGCAACCCAGCCCTATGAAAGGCAGTTAAAGGTGCTGGGCACACTCAGCCTGCAGAAGAGAAGACTAAATGAGGATATGATAGTGGTCTACAAATATCTAAAATATTATCCTGTGCAACCTGTTTTCTGTTGAATCCAAGAGCAGGAAAAGGACCAATAGACTGAAATTAAAATAAAGGAAATTGAGTCTGTTATGACAATGTATCTGACAGTAAAAGTTGTTTAGCTAAATATAGGTGGACTGGAGGTTTTTAAATGGGAGGTGGAGAGCAACCTGTTGGAGATGTTTAAATGAATCCTGTAATCAACAAGAGATTGGTTGAGAAGCCCTCCAAGTACTTTCCAACTTATACATTCTATGAATGTGAAAATAAATGCTGTAATTTCATTTTTCATGTGTACACAAAAATATGCAAATACAATTGATAAACTGGTGAATACAAATCTTACGATTAACATTTATTTAATCTGGGTAGAGCCCTAATTCAAGTACATCTTATGGATTTGAGATACCAGTCTTGAATTATACACAAATAGCTAGTTTCCATGTCTGTGATATTGTAGGAAGAAGGGCTGTCTGGGCATTGGAAATGGAAATATAAGGAGCTGGGTGCAGAAGGGAGGAATGAACATGGAATGTGCATCTTCAAACTGGACAAGGAATAAAGAAGAGTTACAAGCTCTCCATGGAGATTTGGCATTTGTACAACATAACAAATTGGCAAGGGAGGTGGGATGCCATTTTTATCTTTAATTCCCCCATTAGCATTTCTTCAAAACCCAGAGGAGCCATAAATTCCATTTACTTCATAGATTAGGATGTTTGAGAATTATATATTGGTTACTTATGAAGAGGAACTTCCAGAAGCAAGGAAGTGGATATGGCTGATTCATTGCCTAGAACCAGAAGCTCAGACAACATTTTTATAATTTGCCAGCTGTGGATGATAAATGAGTCACATCTTGCCGCTTTAAAGATTTCTTGTTTTCTTCCGCCTAGAATTAACATTGCAGCTCTGTGCTTTAAGTTTTGTTAGCACTTAAAAGCAAGGAGAAATAGCTGAAGAGAAATGCCTTAAGAGAAAAGACTGTTCCTTGTATCTTTGGGGAAATGGCAAAAGAAATTATGAGAAATCGGCTAATAGAGAAGAACCCCATCTGTGGTTAGAGCCAGAACTAACCCTACAGAAAGCTGTTAGGATGCCAGAAGTAGCACACCATTTCTGAATCAAGGTACAGCAAATCTGTACAGACAGTGCAATGGCAGGCGGAGGAAAAATAATTCAAAGAAGTCAAGAGGGACTATAAATAAAAATACATAGCGTTTAAAAGGCATATACGTACCTACAGTGTTACAGTGTGGATTACTGCAACATACAGCAAAAGTTGTTCCATGCATAACAAGAGAAGCCTAGTGCAGACAGTGTAAAAAGAAGGGACATTTTGTATGTTTGGCAGAACATGGGAATCTCAAAAATCATTTGGAAAGGTGCAGCCCCAGACATCATTGTTTCAGTGTGAATGATCTCAATGCAGATATTAGAGCAGACAGAATGCCATTTCACATAAATAATATCTGCCTTAGAAGGCCAGCCACAAGTGGTTGAACTGTTAGATACAGGCTTGGATCTCTGATTTTGCAAATCTTCCATAATGGAGCATTCACAACATCAAAATTGTATTGAATGATTCTAGACCTTAGCTGTTTAATGGCAAAAATAACATTTGAGGCAAATTGCATAGTGGCAATTTTATGTCATGCCCGAAGAACTCTCATTTTGTGAAAACATATTTTTGTTATATTACATACAATATGCAAATACACTATTATCTATATAACATTTGCATTGTTTGAAATTATAACTAAACATAGTGCAGAGGGAGCCTTCAGCTGTGTTAAAGAGTTTATACATAAAGTAACAATTAGACATGTTGTGAAATCGGTACAATGCCACAGTACAGTTAACTGAGCATTCGGGCCAGGGAACTGTGGAGCGGCCTTGCAGGGGTAAAGGTTGGTGAGGTGGGGGTGCAGGACCAATTCCTAACTTTCACTGTTCAGTGTGAATTTTTCATGGTGGCAGAATTCCTTACTGATTGGACTAAGGTAGCATTTGTTCTCAGCCTTTTGAAAGAAGATGTGGCCAGATGGGCAGTTCCACTCACTGAAAGCAATAAGGCCTTACTAGACAGCTCTCAAGATGTTATGAAGAAATCCAAAGCTGTCTTTGATAATTCCACCAGGAAAGCAACTGCTAATCACAAAGAAGAAGGATGTCAAGTACATGAGTACATAGATTTTTGGTTGTATGCCAGGGATATGCCTGGGAATGATTTTGCCTTTTATGTTTCAGCAAGGCCTTTCTAATAAACTGAGGGGTGAATTAGTGTGACAAGGCATACCTGAGACCTTGGAAAAGTTTTTTCAATGTTGTGTGGTGATTGATGGCATGGTAATTGAGGCAGCCTTTCTCCACCTTTTCCCCATCTTCTAGCTAGTCTCCTCAGATGCCTATGGTGTGGATCCCATAGAAATATGGGGATGAAGAGATCCCTGTCTGCAGTGGAGAAACAATGAAGAGGACCTTGGGTTGTGTTTTTACTGTGATACACTCACTCACTTAGTGGCTTGCTCCGCTAAGCTTCCTTGCTCTGAATCGACTGGAAGGTATCACACCTGCAGAGAGTTAGGACACCTTGCAAGTAAATGCCCAAATTGCTCCAGAGCCTTGACTTTGGGAAACTTCTCAGGCTCCTTTCTCTAGAGCAGTGTTTCTTAAAGTGTGGTCCTAGGACCCCTGGGGGTCCCCAAGACCCTCTCAGGGGTCCACAAAATCAAAATTATTTGCCAGCCCATGTTGAAAAATA